ACACACACAACCAGGGCGGAGCGTGACAGTGCGACACTCTCCCTGGCGCGCGCCGGTCGCCCCGCGCCCCGGTGAAACGCGGTGCCTTGCTGCTGCTACCGCCGCGGGTTGCGCCGCGGCCGGGCGCGCGGCGCGCCGCCGGGACTGACGCCGGGCCTGGCATGCGAGCAGCGCGCGCGTCCAGCTTCCCTTCCTCCCCCCCCCCCCTTCTTCCTTTTATTGGGTTCCGATCAGGCGGCAGCAAGCAGCAGCAGCTCCGCTGCTCCGGTGTGTGGGAAAATGCAGCAGGTGGTAACGTGCCGTCCCGACCCGTCCATCCCGTCCCCAAAGTGTGGCTGCTGCTCGTTTCAGCCCCCCCCCCCTTTACCTCTCTTTCTCTCTTTCTTTCCTTCACTCTCCTCACCTTCAATAATGACCGGCTGCCGGTGTTAATGTCGTAATGCGGAGCGGGTTCAACTGCTTTGCGCGAGATTCACCCCTTTCCTCGCCCTCCCCCTTCTCCTCCTCCTCCTCCTCCTCCTCGCCTTTCCTCCCTCTGTGTTGCTAACTACTGTAACGGTCGTTGACTCGATCGCCGCTTCTTTCTTTCCCGCTGCTCGTGCCGCCGCGACTATCGCAGCGCCGCGCGGAAAGCGAATGCAAAACGTCACATTGTTTTCATTGCGAATCTTTCGCCGTGTAGTGCAAAATGCCCGGACAGGCGGCGGGCACGAGGATGGTTTATGGACGTCGGCGAGACGGTGACGACGGCGGGCCGGGCGGGGGCATTTGGCACTTTGTCTCGCCGCGGTGGCAAAACCATAATGCCTTGCACAAACGACCCAAGGAGGGGCTATTCTCTTCCTCTCCTCCAGCAATAAAGAGGCGGTTTTTGTCTTTGCGACTTAGGAGTGCCGGCCGACGTAGACCGCCTTAAGCCGCACCGTCCCTCAGTCAACAATAACACCCCCGCAAGACAAATGATCTGGAGATCCTAAGTCTTGGCGACGGCGGCGGCGGAGTCGGGTCGGGGCCGAGGGCCGAGGAGGAGGCGGCAGACGGACTGCACGCGCCGGCGATGTGGTATGGCGGAGGACACGAGGTGCAACGGCGGCGCCAAGTTGGGGACGAACCTCGTGCCCGTATGTAAGGAGGACGTCAGTGGTGTCAGAGGTCGCTGTTGGGCGCGCGGGCGGGCGGGCG